GTTTCTTTTATTAAATTTAAGGGATGAGTGGAGGGCCATTATCCAGGATCAAATTGAAGGTAATGCCATGAGTGAAACTAAAGGGTCAAATGTCTGTTAGAATGAAACAGAGAGTGGCAGGCGAACAAGGGCAGATTGTGGCCATGAGGAAACAAAGGAAAATAGATGACCAGGTGCTTAGGCCCCATGTATATAAGCTGTCACTGAAGAGCTATGCAGGCAGATCTGTGGGTTGTAAAGGCACTGATTTGGGAGAGACGTATTCAGAGCCAGTAGCTGTCAATTTTGTAATATTTTATCGTAACTTGATTCTCGCCTCAGTCTGCAGGGAGGCCTCTGTGGGAGATATCGTGTTTCTAGTGGACACCAGCATCAACCCTCAGTATACCCAGATCATGCGGAACTTCTTGTACATCATGGTGAACGGCTTCACCGTCAGCAGAGAGACCATCCGCGTGGGGCTAGCCCAGTACAGCGATGAGCCCCATTCCGAGTTCCAGCTTTCCACCTACCGCCACAAAGGCCATGTGTTGGCCCACATTCGGAGGTTCCAATTTAAACCTGGGGACACTGGGGGCAGCAAGATGGGCCTGGCCCTGCAATTCCTTCTAGATCATCACTTCCAGGAAACAGCGGGGAGCCGGGCAAGCCAGGGTGTGCCTCAGGTCGCCATGGTGATCAGCAGCAGCCCAGCTGAGGACAGTGTGCAGGAACCTGCTGAGGCATTTAGGAGGGCGGGCATCCTGCTTTATGCAGTTGGCATCAGAGATGCATCGTTGGCGGAGCTCAGGAAGATTGCGAGCCGTCCTGTGGAGAAGTTTGTCTCCTTTGTTTCCAACTTCTCTCGCCTGGGCATTCATGCCCAGAAGCTGCGGCAGGAACTCTGTAAAACTTTGGTAAAAGCAACTCAAACCGTTGACCACGTCTCTCCAGGTACCAAGTTGTTTCCCTTCTTATTTCTGATCTAGAAGTCACAGAACTCAAAGCTTTATCTCTTATTCCTCCCTCCCTCTGTCCTTATTTTCCATATGTTTGCATGGTTGATTTTAATATTAAAATTTCTCTAAACCATCTGTACTCTATGCTCCTCTCCAATCACTGGCCAAAAATGTATCAATTCTTTTCATAAATCTTGTGGGCCTTATGCTGGTTCTATATACGAATGTAGTAGAAGTCCATTTTTAAAGGAAGAAATATTTGTTCCTAGAATTATTATTATTCCTAGATTAGCTTACCCATGTTGCCAGGATGGGGGACAGAAGAGAGGAGAGGGTCAGTAGATCCCCCAGGAGGTTGGCTTATTTTACTGCCAGTGTGTTGGTGTAATGTACTGGTTTAGAGTAAGAATTTAGGGAAAAGAAAGATCTGGGTTCAAATCCCAGTTCTCCACTTTCTAACTGTGTCATCTTTAACATGTTACTGTATTTCTATGAAACTACATTTTCTTTCTAGAATGATAGTACCTACCTCAGAGAGAGCTGTTGAATGCATTAAAAGAAATTATGCAAGTGAAGCGCTTATCACAGTACTTAACCCATTAGAGGTACCCATATGCATTATGGTCATTACCTGTGATGATATACCTGTCATCAGCTTAGTAATTCTGCTATTGGTGATGGGGCATAAACCTGGGAAAATTCTTTATGAATTAAATACTAACCTCTATACGAAAGTACAGAACTCTGAGCAGAGAAAGAGAAGATCGCTTGTATGCTCATCAAAACCCACAAGAAGATAGAGCCTTCATTACTTATTCATTATTTTGCTATTTCTACATAGGGTAGGTGAATTGGAAGAACTGCTAAAACTTTTGAGCCATTTGATGCAGCAGGTGTGTGGTGGTAGTATTGAATTTGTACAGCCAAATTATATATCTTGCTTTTATATAGCACTTCAAGGTTTACAAAGAGGTTTTATATACATAGTAATAGTAACTATGGTTTGATTGGTGCTATATAGTTTCCAAAACTTGTTTGCATTGCCCATCTGACTGATAGATACTTATACTGCTTTTTTTGCTTAGGTACTTAGGGCAATTAGTATTTGTTTTTACACAGATACATAAAACAATCAGTATTATTATTTGCATTTATCATGTGAGGAAACAGGCCAAAGGTAACATAACTGGATGACAAAGCTAGGACTTGATCTCAAGTCTTTTAGAGTAGATCCATTCGAATAGAAAGGTCTTAGATTGTGTTCCTTAGGAGCAGAGCCTGAAACAAGGATTTGGATACAATTTATCTATTACAGAAGAGCTTCCAAAGGAGGTTGGTTAGGATATAGGGGATGTAGGACAGAGAAATGGAGGAAAGGGCAAAAGTTCCACAGAATATAGTTTTAGTTTGATCCTACAGGAGAACTCCTGATTTTCTCGATCCAAGGCAAGGAGACAGGCTTTCATATATGGTAGGCAAAGCAGCTCCAGCACCTGAAGAGAAGTCCTCCAAAGAGCATCGTACAGAAATAGTAAAAAGGAATCCCAAAGGATCTGGGCAGAGCACTGACATTATCTGCTATAGTAGATCATCTTATTTTGTCCTCAAAACAGTTTTATCCTCAAAACAACCCTGTGAGATTGTGAGGGCTAGTATAAACATTTCAGTGCTGCAGAGGGAGGAGTGAGTCTCAAAGAGGTGAGTGATAAATCGATCACAGGACTACTACGTGGCAGAGCTACAATGAGATGTATCGTAGGACATGGGATGCATTCCAGCCTTCTGATCTGTTGGTGCCAGCACGCTCCTAGAGATGAAATTTATTCTCCCTGGAAAAAGGGCAGCCCCTTTCCCAGCATGCTACTACATTTATATGAGGTTTTTTTTTCTCTGAAAGTTAAGGGATTGTCCATATGCATTTCAAGATTGGAGGTATCAGTAGAGTAGGACAGAAGTCTCAGAAGATGACAGAGTAGAGAGAAGGAAAGGCACAGGGTTTGTTGTTCATTTCTCTGAGCACGCTGTTATTTGGGTTGTCTGAGGACCCCTGAGTATGGGTTCTCTGGCATGGCTCTCCCCTTCTGTAGACCATTCAGCTCCACTGGTTCTAAGGATTTTGAGTGAAGGTCCACAGACCCTATCCCTTTTGCCCTCTCTTGTACAGCTTGCAGAGAAACCATCCTGGCAGATATTGTCTTTCTGGTAGACAGCTCAACCAGCATTGGACCCCAGAATTTCCAGAAAGTGAAGAACTTCCTTCGTTCTGTTGTCTTGGGGCTTGACATCAGCAGTGACCAGGTCCGAGTGGGTCTCGCTCAGTATAATGACAACATCTACCCAGCCTTTCAGCTGAACCAGCACCCTCTGAAGAGTGTGGTCCTGGAGCAGATCCAGAACCTTCCCTACCGTACAGGAGGCACGAACACAGGGAGCGCCCTGGAGTTTATCAGGACCAACTACTTGACTGAGGCAGCTGGCAGCCGGGCCAAAGACAGGGTTCCTCAGATAGTTATCCTGGTGACAGACGGAGAGTCAAATGATGAAGTCCAAGAGGCAGCTGACAGGTTGAAAGAAGATGGAATTGTTGTGTACGTGGTCGGGATCAATGTCCAGGATGTCCAGGAGTTGCAAAAAGTGGCCAGCGAGCCATTTGAGAAATATCTCTTCAACATTGAAAACTTCAACATCCTGCAGGATGTCTCAGGAGGCATTCTTCAGACACTGTGCTCAGCAGTGGAGGGTAAGAGGGAAGGTAAGAAGCTGTGTCAAAACGCACCATTCCAACCGGGGTGCCTAATTACAATATGAGCCAGGGTATACTGAGTGTAGTGGAAAGTAGGAGAAGAAGCTGCCTGGCATCCCTGGAGAACATGGGGAGACTTCTGAGATGAAGGAACATCTGAGCTGGGGGTTGAAGGAGGCATGAAGGTCTCATGCATCCTATCGTGTTGGTAAGAGGAAATGGCATGGGTGTTGGAGTCCAGAAAACCTGTTGTTTTTGTTTGTTTGTTTGTTTTCAATTCTGCCTTTGCTACTTGCTAGTTCTGTGAGCATGGACAAGCAGCTTCACCTCTTTACTTCAGTTTTCTGGTCTGCACAATGAAGATAATAATACTTGCCAGCAGGGTGGTTTTGTGAGGATTAAATCAGATAAAGTATATAAAAATCTCTAGCACAGAGTAATTGCTCAGTGTATGTTAACTTCCCTTGTTTCCTCCATTGTTTGAAGAAGAATAATTAAAAGGCACTTTAGTCTAATGAAGCAGACAGCAAAGGCAGCAGGGTATAACAGGGAGAGAGCCTTGTGGGGGAGGAAGTGGATCTACAATACATACAGTGTTATATAAATAGAGTGCCTCTGCCACACACAACCATTCCTGTATTCAATTTTCATGAGACCTTGATTTGCTTTTGCTTTGTCTTCTGTGCCTTTTCCTCCCCTGCCCCCCTCAATTCCAGGATCCATCCCGGCCTCTGCAGATGTGGTCTTTCTTGCTGACACCTCACAGAACACATCACGGGCCACTTTCCAGTGGATGCGGAATTTCATCTCCAGAGCGGTTGGCATGCTGGATGTTGGCAGGGATAAGTACCAGATCGGGCTGGCTCAGTATGGTGGTCAAGGTCACACTGAATTTTTGCTCAATACCTATCAGACCCAGGATGAGATGATTGTTCACATCCATGAACACTTTGTGTTACGGGGTGGCTCCAGGAGAACAGGCAAAGCTCTGCGATACCTTCATCAGACCTTCTTCCAGGAGGCAGCGGGAAGCCGGTTTCTCCAGGGCATCCCCCAGTATGCAGTGGTCATTACCTCAGGCAAATCTGAGGATGAGGTCTCGGATGCTGCACAGACATTGAGGGAGAGAGGCGTCAAAGTCATGACTGTGGGTGTCCAGGACTTTGACAGAAGAGAACTGGAGAGGATGGCATCCCCACCTCTTATATATGAGATACAAGGATACGATGGAGTCAGACAGATGATGCAAGATGTGAACGTGGTGATCCAAGGGATTGGGAATCCCGAGTTCAGGACTGAGCCTGAGAAGGAGGCTGTTGTAGGTAAGGTTTGGCTCCCAGGTGTGTGAGCCACTGGGAAGTCTTAGCATAACAGAAAAGTCTGAGGAAAGAGCAGAGAAGGGGGCATTCTGGATTCCTTAATACTAGGACACTAGCACCATGGACTGGGAAGAGGAGGAGGCATGGAGCTGCCTCAGGCACACACCTTGTATTAGTTACCGTATTTGCCGGTGTATAAAACGACTCGGCGTATAAGACGACCCCCTAACACATTTCCACTCAAAATACAGTTTGTTATATGGTCGGCTATGTGCGATTTTGCGAGTGTGGTAAAATCGCATAACAGCAAAATCGCATAACAGCCGAGCATACACCCAGCAGCGCTGCTGATGCCTGAACGGTATGTNTTATTGTTTTTATACTGGCAATTTGTACATCTTAATCCCTCCCCCTTTTTTCACCCATCCCCCTACTTCCTCCCCCCACCCCCCCACTCATCTGGCAACCATCAATCTGTTCTCTGTGTCTAAGTTTGTTTCTGTTTTGTTTGTTTATTTTGTTTATTAGATTCCACATATAAGTGAAATTATACAATATTTCTCTTTGTCTGGCTTCTTTCACTTAGCATAATACCGTATAGGTCTATCCATGTTGTTGCAAATGGCAAGATTTCATTCTTTTTATGGTTGAATAATATTTTTATATATCTATATATCTATATATCTCACCTCTTCTTTATCCATTTGTCTTATCGATGGACCTTAGGTTGCTTCTATATTAGCTATTGCAAATAATGCTGCAATGAACATAGGAGTGCATATTTCTTTTTGAATTACTATTTTAGATTTCTTTGGATAAATATCCAGAAGTGGAATTGCTGGGTCATTAGATAGTCTATTTTTGATTTTTTGAGGAACCTCCATATTGTTTTCCATAGTGACTGCACCAATTTACATTCCCACCAACAATGCACGAGGGTTCCCTTTTTTTTTACATCCTCACCAACACTTGTTATTGATTTATTGATGATAGCCATTCTGACAGGTATGAGGCGATACCTCATTGTAGTTTTGCTTTGCATTTCTCTGATGATTTAGTGACATTGAGCAACTTTTCATATGTCTATTGGCCGTGTACATGTCCTCTTTGGAGAAATGTCTGTTCAGTCCTCTGCCCATTTTTTAATGGGATTGGTTTTTTTGGTTTTTTTTTTTTTTTTGGTGTTAAGTTATATGAGTTCCTAATAGATTTTGGCTATTAACTCCTTGTCAGATGTATCATTGCCGAATATCTTCTCCCATTCAGTAGGTTGTCTTTTCATTTTGTTGATGGTTTCCTTTTCTGTGTAAAAACTCTTTAGGTGATATAGTCCCACGAGTTTACCTTTTCTTTCATTTTCCCTGTTTCTTTTATTAAATTTAAGGGATGAGTGGAGGGCCATTATCCAGGATCAAATTGAAGGTAATGCCATGAGTGAAACTAAAGGGTCAAATGTCT